ATCAGTCCTTCCTTTATCCACATGTCTCTCCATCCATTTATTTCTGTTCATCTACATACTCATCTGAAAGACAGCGACAGAGAAAAAGAGAGAAAGTAATAAACGGACAGACACACACACAGTCAGAGAGCGAAAGGAATAATAATAAAAACGCGAGGGAAGAGAGAGAGAGAGAGAGAGAGAGGAGGAGAGAGAGAGAGAAAGAGAGAAAGAGAGAGAGAGGGAGAGAGAGAGAGAGAAAGAGAGAGATAGAAAAGAGAAAAAGAGAAAGAAAGAGAGAGAGAAAATTGAGAGGGAGGGAAGAGAGAGAGAGAAAACAAATAAACGGAGAGACATAGACAGATAAAGAGTAAATAATAATAATAATAACTAATAATGATTAATTTCTCCGTGGCCTAACCAAAAAATTGCCCCCTTCCCCCTCCCTCTCTCCCCTCCCCTCTCCCCTCTCCCCCTCCTCCCCACCCCTTTTTACCCCCCCCCCCCCCCGCCCTCCTCAGCAACCCGCCAACCAACCTTTGAAATTACGCCCTTTTCAGTTTCATTTTCAAATTACTTCTCCTCATTTTAAACTCTTTACCGCCAGAGAGTAGAGAGGTCTGGGGGGGAGGGAGGGAGGAGGGAGGAGGAGGGGGGGGGAGGAAGCCAATCCTAACATGGGAAGTTCAAAGGAAGAACCGCTTTCTACTTGGAATATTATGTAACTTGAGACTGGAATTCCGACGGGACTAAAAACTTTTTTAATGGCGATCTAAAATGCCTACGTGCTTTAGCGCTCTTTATGCATTTCTTTTAATCTTCTCATCCGCGAAAAGGGACAAAAGAACATTTAATAAGTAAGTCTTTATAGATACATAAAACGAGAACTTTTTTTTTTTTTTTTTTCATTGGTGAACAGAAAACGACGAAGATGCAACCGGTGGCGGGAAACGTGCTCAAAGAATACTTATGAGCGAAGAGGGGGAGAGGGGCCTTTGTTGTAGGGTTTTTCATGATTAATATGCATTACCTTTACATATCTATATGACAGTTGCTTCCCTCCGCGTCTTTATCTTATATGACACGGAGAACCATCCACAGATGCGCTAAGGGATACATGGTATTTATTTTTTGTTTTGTTTATTTTAAGAACCTTTCACGCTGAGAGGTATATACGTATTCTTTTTTCTTTCTTTCTTCTTTGTTATTTTTTCTTCTTTCTTTCTTTTTTCTTTTTCTTTTTTTTGATAAGGACAACCATTCACAAATGCGCTGAGGGATACATGCATATTTCAATTTTTCAAAACATGTATATTTTCAAGGCATACGCAGATGTGGTCCTCCCTCTTTGGAATATTATGATAACGGTGGATGTTTTCATAGGAATCCAACTGATGTTTGTTTAGGTTTGCCGCCAGTTATCAAAAGCCGGTTTTATGATCCCGTTATTGATAGTTTTTATCCGATAAAATTCCACTTCGATAATCATCTTTACGAAGAAATTGCGTAAGCGTAAGTATGATTATACATACTGAAAACAAGAGGATTTTTTTTATATAACTAGAACACCTGAGTTTAATATCTAAGCTTACCTAAAATGGAGTGTTAACTCGACCCTCTGCTGCCCTTCATAGAAATCAATTGTTTTACATATTTACTGTCCCTCTTCATCTTCATCATTTAACGCTGCATCTGCTATCTAACCTTTAATATAATGGGTTTTATGGTCTACTTAAGATCTCCTTTTCGTTGTTGGTTCCGCTGTATCAAGGAGGTCGTTACCGGAGTGTACTTTCGCAGTTCTGGGGATTCCTCTTCGCAATTGTCTTCCATTCTCTCCCATTCACTCTCTTCTGGCTCCCACTCACTTATTTCCTTCTCCCACTCACTTTCCGTCTCCCACTCGCTATCTTCTGTCTCCTGCTCAACTTTTTCTGTTTTCCGGTTATTATCGTTTGTCTCCCACTCTCCATTTTCTGTTTCGAACTCGCTTTCTGTCTCCCACTCATTTTCTGTCTTCCACTCACTTATTGTCTCCCACTCTCTATCCCCTGTCTTTCACTCTCTCTTCTGTCTCCCGCTCACCTTCTTTTGTCTCTCATTCTCCATCTTCTGTCTCCCTTTCTCTATCCTCTGTCTCTCACTCACCATCTTCTGAACAAAAGGAAGAAAGAGGGGAGGAGCGAGAAGGAAAGAAGAGGAAGAGGAAGAAATCGAGATAAAAAGGGTTTAAGGAGAACGGGAGGTCAAGGCCACAGGAGAGAAAATCTAAGGGGAAAGAGAGGGAGTGAAGGGGCAGGAATAAGGGAGATGGCGATGACCTGCAGGGAGAAGGGGCTTTTGAAGGGAAAGAGAGGAGTGAAGGGGAAGGACCAAGGGAGATGGGATGACCTGCCCCTTAAGTGCGAGGGCGAAGGGGCTTTTGAAGGGGAAAAACAAGAGGTCAAGGACATCTTAAAATCGAAGGTAAATGTCTTAGAAGCTTTTTTAAAGATTTCATGAAACACGAAGCAAGGACATGAGGAATATTTTATCCACTGAAATAAGAATAATTATGTTGAAGAGAGCCAACGTTTACACATGACATGATGAGATGAAATAAAAAAGAATGATAACTAATAAATTGAAAAAAAAAATAAAGTCAACATTATCTTGGTTAAGTATTTCTATTATGACTGTAAAAATAAATGATACCTAATAAATTGAAAAAAATAAAGTCAACTTTGGTTAAGTATTTCTATTATGACTGTACCTGAGTTCTATTCCGCTTTTGTACACACATTGCTGTGGTTGTACATGTACGCATAAAGACACGCACACTGAAGGCTGGGAGTGATGTCCTAAACGCAAATCCTCATTTCATTTTATTCACTTTTTTGAGATGTTTTTTTTATCTCTCTTTCATTCATTCAATCTGTCAACAATTGAATTAACTCATTCTTTCTCTGCTATCTCTCTCTCATTTCATTTTATTCATTTTTGAGATGGTTTTGTTCTCATTCATTCATTCAATCTGTCAACAATTGAATTAACTCATTCTTTCTCTGCTATCTCTCTCTCATTTCATTTCATTCGATTCATTTTCGGTTTTGTTCTCATTCATTCATTCAATGTCAACAACTGAATTAACTCATTCTTTCTCTATCTCTCTCGCCCTTTCCCTTAATCAGCTGCAACCCAGATGTTGGCTTAATTAGATGACCTAACTCACCCTTCGCCATTTTGCTCGCAATAACGCATTCCAACTCCGCCCTTTCTCAAATTAAGTCATGATTCATCTTATCAATGCTAAGAAAGTCGTTCTGATTCAGTCATTCTGGTCATTCTGATTCTGATTATTGACTCATCTCATATATTTATTCATTTTAAGGAAGTCATTCTGATTCTGATTATTGATTCATCTCATATATTCATTCATTCTATTATTCATTATAATATTTGTACTCACTGTAAGTTTACATTTAGTCTAGCGAAATGATTTAACTCATTTATCACTGAAGCGATTCATTCTAACTCATCTTTTCCTCTAAATAAAGCATCAGACTTATCTTTTCCCAGTATAACTCATTCTCATTCATACCTTCCCCATCATAGCGAATTTGAACTCATTTTTTCCCATATGAATATCTCACTCTCTCACATCTTCCCCGAAATAACTAATCTAATATATCCTTTCCAATTAACGATTCACTCTACCTTATTCATTCCACACATCTCATTCTCCCTCCCCCAGACTCATCCCAAGATCACCCTCCTCTTCTCCCTCTATAACTTATTCCATCTCATTCTCAGTCTAACTCACGCCCACTCGTCCTGACTCACCCTCCTCCTCTCCCTCTATGACTCATTCCATCTCATTCTCAGTCTAACTCACTCGTCCTGACTCAGCCTCCTCTTCTCCCCTACGACTCATTCCATCTCATTCTCAGTCTAACTCACTCGTCCTGACTCAACCCAAGATCACCCTCCTTTTCTCCCTCTATAACTCATTCTCAGTCAGTCTAACTCCCCCAGACTCAGACCAAGATCACCCTACCCTCCTCTTCTCCCTCTATGACTCATTCCATCTCATTCTCAGTCAGTCTAACTCACGCTCACTCGTCCTGACTCATCGCAAGATCACCCTCCTCTTCTCCCTCCATAACTCATTCCATCTCATTCGCCGTCCCCCAGACTCATCCCAAGATCACCCTCCTTTTCTCCCTCATTCCATCTCATTCTCAGTCTAACTCACTCGTCCTGACTCAGACTCCTCTTCTCCCTCTTTAACTCATTCCATCTCATTCTCAGTCAGTCTAACTCACGCCCACTCGTCCTGACTCAGCCTCCTCTTCTCCCTCTTCTCCCTCATTCCATCTCATTCTCAGTCTAACTGACGCCCACTCGTCCTGACTCATCCCAAGATCACCCTCCTCTTCTCCCTCTTTAACTCATTCTCAGTCAGTCTAACTCCCCCAGACTCAACCCAAGATCAGCCTCCTCTTCTCCCTCTATAACTCATTCCATCTCATTCTCAGTCTAACTCACGCTCGCTCGTCCTGACTCAGCCTCCTCTTCTCCCCCTTTAACTCATTCCATCTCAGTCTCAGTCAGTCTAACTCACTCGGCTGATCAGCCTCCTCTTCTCCCTCTATAATCATTCATCTCAGTTCTCACAGTCTAACTCAGACTCTCCCAAGATCACCCTCCTCTTCTCCCCTAGACTCATTCATCTCTCAGTCTCACGCCCACTCGTCCTGACTCAGCCTGCTTTAACTCATTCCATCTCATTCTCAGTCTAACTCAGCCTGACTCAGCCTCCTCTTCTCCCTCTATAACTCATTCCATCTCATTCTCAGTCAGTCTCCCTCCCAGACTCATCCAAGATCACCTCCTCTTCTCCCCCTCTAACTCATCCATCTCATTCTCAGTCTAACTCACTCGTCCTGACTCATCCAAGATCCTCCTCTTCTCCCCCTAACTCATTCTCAGTCTAACTCACGCCCACTCGTCCTGACTCAGCCTCCTCTTCTCCCCCGCAGAACGAGCCTCTTCTGGACCACGACTTGGTACGTAAGGACGGTCGCACTCCCGCCCTCAGACTCAGGTTCGGCAAGCGTGACACGCCCTTCGCCCAGGTAGGTGGGGTGGGAGGGAGGGAGGGAGGGAGGGAGGAGGGAGGAGGAGGGAGGAGGGAGGGAAGGGAGGGAGGGAGGGAGGGAAGGAGAAGGGAAAGAAGGAGGGAGGAGGGAGGGAGAGAGGGGGAGGGGGGTGGGAGGCAGAGAGAGAGTGAGGAGAGATAGAAAGGGAGGGAGGGAGGGTGGAGAGAGATAGAGAAAGGGAGAGGGAGGGAGGGAGGGAGAGAGAGATAGAGGGAGGAGGAGAGATAAGGAAGGGAGGCAGGGAGAGAGAGAGAGAGTGGGAGAGATAGGAAGGGAGGGAGGAGGAGGAAGGGAAGGAGGGAGAAGGGAGGGGAGGAAGAAGGGAGAAAGAGAGGAGGGAGGGAGGGAGGAGAGGAAGGAGGAGAGAGAGAGAGAGAGAGAAGAGGAAAAGATAGTAGAAGAAGATAGTAGAGGGAGGGAAAGGGAGGGTAGCGGGGGGGAGGGGTCCTGTTGCATTCGCGTGTGGGTGGCGGCGATTCCTCACAACACGCCCTCGCCGTCAGAGAGACACGGATCGGACCCAGCGTAAAGAGCCTTCAGTGACAGTCTCGTCCAGAGTAAAAGGATTCGAGGAGGCAGTCAGACAGTTGCGTGTGATGGGTGACTGAGAAATACGTGGATAGAAATAAGTGGATCCATGTGGAAAGGTATGAATGAGAACGAATATCTTCACAATACAAGAGATGTATTTAAGCGGTTTCGATTATATCTTCGTCAGAAATTCATGTATCTCTGACGAAGATATATAATCGAAACCGGTTATTAAATGCATCTCTTGTATTGTGAAGATATTCGTCCTCATTCATACCTTTCCACGTTTGTCAACATGAATACGGTTCACATCGATTCATGCATATATCTATACGTACATATATATTTACATACGTACATGTATATAAATACACAAAAGTACAGTTGCGGACATTTCAAACTGGTATATCCCAATATTGCGTGGACTGAATTTTTTTTTTTTTTTTTTTTTTTGGGGGGGGGGGTCATACGTGAGTAGTATCCAGTATTTTGTGAATGGAATGTTCGTGTTTGTACGTCCGTGATTGGCGCCTGGTGTTTCGCAAATATATCCACTGGCTACAAATATCAGTCCTTAGAATCATGTTCAAAAAGTTTGGAAACATTACAAAGTTTTGCTGAATATCAGTAATATTGCTTGAAACAAGTGGTGATTTCTTTTTAAAAATTAAACAATTGAAAATGGTTTAACTGAAGACATTAACGCAATCACTCTACCCAAACATTGATGACATTTAATCTCGATCAATTTTTAAACAAAAATGCGCATGTAAAACTATATGTAAGACATCTGGTTAGATTTACAAATGTAAAACGCATTATTCTAAGATGAAATACGAATCACATGTTATGTCACTTGTAGATTTAATCGTAAAGTTTCCACGCGTAGTTGACCTTCTTTTGACCCAGAAGGAGGTAGACGAAGAGGAGGAAAAGAGAGGGAGGAAAAAAGAGGGGTAGGAGAGGGAGGGGGAGAGAAGGAGGAAGGGAAAAGGAAAAACGGGAAAAGGAGAAAGAGGAGAGGGGTGGAAGGAAAATAAGAGAGACAAGGAAGGAAAAAGATTAGTTGGGGAGAGAAAGAAAGAGAGATAGAAAGATAAAGAAAAGAAGGAGCAAAGACAGGGAAAGGGAGAGAGAGAGAGGAAATGGGATAGGAAAGACAGGAGAAGAGAAGAGGAGAGTGGGACAAGAATGTAGGAAAAAGAGATAGGAGGAGATAAGAAAAGGGAGTGAGAGAAGAAGAGGAAGGGGAGGAGGGAGAAAGAAGGGGGGAAGAGGTCAGAAGCACAAAGCCCGTGTTCCAGCTGCCAGTCGCAGCCGCTCACCCCCTCCCTTGTGACATTGTCTGCTCCCCCCCTTCCTCCCTTCCTCCCTTCCTCCTCCGCCGCCTGCCCTCCCACGCCCCCCTCCCTCCCTTCCTCCATCGCCGTCTGCCCTCCCACTCCCCCCCTTCCTCCCTTCCTCCCTCGCCGTCTGCCCTCCCACTCCCCTCCCCCCCTTCCTCCCTTCCTCCCTTCCTCCCTCGCCGCCTGCCCTCCACCCCTCCCCCTCCCCCCCATCCCCCTCGCCGTCTGTCCTCCCACTCCCCCCTTCCTCCCTTCCCCCCTCGCCGTCTGCCCTCCCTCTCCCCTCCTTCCTCCCTTCCTCCCTTCCTCCCTCCCCCCCCTTCCTCCCTCGCCGTCTGCCCTCCACTCCCCTCCCTCCCACTCCCCCTCCTCCCTCCCCCCTTCCTCCCTTCCTCCCTTCCTCCCTCGCCGTCTGCCCTCCCACTCCCCTCCCTTCCTCCCTCCCCCTCTTCCCCCTCCCTCCCCCCCTCCCTTGTGACATTGTCTGCCCCCCCTCCCCTTCCTTCCTCCCTTCCCCCTTCCTCCCTCGCCGTCTCCTCCCACTCCCCTCCTCCCCCTTCCTCCCTTCCTCCCCTCTTCCCCATTCCTCCCTCCCCTTCCTCCCTCGCCGCCTGCCCTTCCCCCTTCCTCCCCCCCCCCCCTCCCCCCCCTTCCTCCCTTCTCCCTCGCCGTCTGCCTCCCTCTCCCCCCTCCCCCCCTTCCTCCCTACCCCTCTCCCCTCCCTCCTTCCTCCCTCGCCGCCTGCCCTCCCACCCCCCTCCCCCCTCCCCTCCCTCCCCCCCTTCCTCCCTTCCTCCCTTCCTCCCTCGCCGTCTGCCCTCCACTCCCTCCACCCCCTCCTTCCTCCCTCCCCCCTTCCTCCTTCCTCCCTTCCCTCCCTCGCCGTCTGCCCTCCCACTCCCCTCCTCCCTTCCTCCCTTCCTCCCTCGTCGCCTGCCCTCCCACTCCCCTCCCACCCCTCCCCCATGGCGGCCTCGGATCGTCGATTCCCAGACAGAACTCTTCGCCAGGCGCCAAGACATGCCCGACGACGTCCCTGTCACGACCCTCGCAGGCAGGCAGGGCCGCGTCGAGGCGGGTTTCTTCGTCGGTTCATGGACGTTGTGCTGTTTCTCTCTCTCTCTCTCGTCTCTCTCTCTCTCTCTCTCTCTCTCTCTCTCTCTCTCTCTCTCTCTCTCTCTCTCTCTCTCTCTCTCTCTCTCTCTCTCTCTCTCTCTCTCTCTCTCTCTCTCTCTCTCTCTCTCTCTCTCTCTCTCTCTCTCTCTCTCTCTCTCTCTCTCTCTCTCTCTCTCTCTCTCTCTCTTAGCTTTCGCAGCTAACTTCTCCCTATTCTTCCTTCCCGCCGGGGAGGACATATCCAAAAATTCATAATTTGCTCATGTTTTTAATATCTTTCCTTCTTTACATTCCTCACCTCCTTATTCTCTTTATATTCTTGGCAACGTCTCTCTGCCTTCTCGTCTTCGCCCTTTTACCATTCCCTCCTTCCCTTCCCGCAGGAGGAGGACGTGGCCACTCCGGAGCAGTAAGGGACGAGGCAGGTTCCGCGACGCTCACGCCCCTCGAGGTTCCGTAGTGTCCTAGCAACCGACATTCCCCCGCCCGTCCCCGCGCCCCTCCCCCCCCCCCACGCCCACGCCCACGCCCATACGCCCTTCGGCAGCGGCCTCCAGCGAGCAAGTCTCTCCAGCAGCGCAGCCAAGGACACCCGAGCGGCTCCCCCGACGGCCCCGACGCCCCGCGAGGAAGGAGCCGCGGCCGCAGGAGGGAAGGTCGCCGCCGCCGCCCGCGCCTCACGAGGGCGCCGCTGCCTCGCCCGGGGCGCGCGGGCGGCCCTCGGGCGCTTAGACGTCCACGAGGGCTTAGTAGACATGTATACATACATACATAAATACGCCCATACATATATACATACATATATACATACCCTCATACATATATGCATACATGTATACATACATACATACATAATACATGCATACTTACATACA